GATTTCAGCTTAGGGATTTCCTCTTTGGAAAACCTGCTCTGCCTCATGCATGCTAAGCAAGGCCCATGTAATAAGAAAAGGCAACCCAAACTTAGAAATGTGGCAGAATGAAGGGGTGTTTCCTCTCATTGCTGTAGTAGTACGCTGTTTAAGAGCACCACTAAAAGGTTAATTCTGACAAGGAAGATATGTGCGTTTGCTTTTACTGCTCGATTGGGGCCCAGATGTTATAAACTATGGCATATGCCCATTTGCAAGTTTTGTCTGGGAGAGATGGCTTCTGTCCAGCAGAAAAGATAACTCCAGAGGTTCAGTTTTATCACCTTGGGGAATGATAACCAGTTATGTCTCTAAGCTAGACATTTCCTTCTTACAATCCCGTCTCAATAGTCTATGGACACCTATTTACTCTTGGAAGCAGTGCTACCATCCAGCTGGCTCACTGGGTGTGTGCAGGACACCGCACAGCAGCTGTCTCCTGTTAGCACCGCTAGTTGCTTTTGTTTCCGCCTGTCCTATGAGGTCATATAGGTGTGGCCCATCTTTTGTCAATACTACATTCTCAGAATTTTGTACAGGGCTTTGTTATCTCAATGACCAATCTTTACCTTGCTGAGCGTCATTGTCTTCATTTTCCGTAGAGTGGACATCATAGCACCAAGCTGCAAAGGATGGCAAGGTTCCATGAACTGAAGAATGCAGGTGGCCAGGAGCCTCTTGAGCATATTATATGGTTTGGATATGACACGTCCTCAGAAGGCTCACATGCTAAAGGCTTGTCCTCCAACTGGTGGATTGAATCATTGGACGATGACTGGATCCTGAGGGCTCTAACTCAACCAATGGCTCTTCCACTGCCGGAGTCCTGATTTGATGGTGTTATTGGGAGATGGTGGAAATGAGGAGGGGAGGAAGCAGGCCACTGGAGGCCTGATTTTGAGGGGTCTGTCTTGTCTTGGGACCCTTTTTCCTAGCTGCCATGAGGTGAGCACCCCCCCCACTCCACATGATGTTCTGTCTTGCTACAGACCCATAGCAATGAAGTCATCTGACCAGAGTGATAGCTCTGAAACCTCCAGCCCCCAACCTCCTCCCTCCCATATGTTGTTTTGTCAGGTATTCTGTCACAGTGACAAGATGCTGACTGACACACAAAGTGGGCTGTAGCCTCCCTCATTCTCTGGGTTGGTGCTAAAGGTAAGTCTGAGTTTCTTGGGGTAAAGCTCATAGTGTGGTTGGGAGGACACCAAGTCACAGGGGAGTGGCTCACTAGGGCAGGACAGTGGTGGGACTGGAAGACTGGTGACTACAGTACAGTACAGCTAGGGGGGAGCAAGACATGTCGTTTAGGAAGTCAGGCAGGGCGTCAGGCATGGTGGTTCCCATGTGTAGTTCTAGCACTTGGAGGCTTGAGGCAGGAGGACTGCAGGTTTGAGGCCCTATGTGTTACAGGCTGGTCCTGGCTAAAAGCAAGACTCTATCTCAAAACAAAACAGAGAGTGGCAGGATATAGACAAAGGAACCATGGGGACAAGCTGGGGTATTGGTCTTCCCATTTTGGGTTCATGAGGGATGGAGGACTTGCTAACTATTTTTACCAGAAGAGCCTGCCTCTGAGAGTATGTGGGCAAGAATGAGAGTAACTGTGTGTGCAGATGTGGACATCTTTGAGCAAACACATAGGTGTGAGTGTAACTGAATGTGCATGCATGAGGGTTTCTCTGCACGCGTTGGTCACTCTTAGCAGCACCCTGCTGTGGGAGATTGAAGCCCCTTTCCTCATTTAGCCCCCACTTCTACGGACTGCTACAACTGCACTTCACTGGTCAGAAAACCAAGGCTCAGAGGTAAGGCCATGTGGCCAAGGTCACAGGGCAAGGACTCTTGAGGAATACCTGCTCTGACCTCTGTGCTCCAGGGTGGAGGGGGTTTGAGGGATGAAGGGCAGCTGAGAGGGATAAAAGGGAATGTCTGCCCAAGTGACCACAGGTAGATGGTTTTCATTGCTGTTTTTAGTCTCTGCACCCAGGTTGGTACTTTCTTTTATCATCTTCTGTGCCATTTTGGTCACCAGAATGGTCTTTTTCAAATTAACTCAGTGACATTCCTTGGACCCCTTCATCTGGGCTGGATCCTGGGTTGGGTTTGGGAACCCAAGATAAGGCATTTATTGTTTCTAGGAAACTGTCAGACTGGAGCAAACATCAAATACTGTAGGAGAAGTCAGATCTGGTGGCACAAACCTGCAATCCCAGCTACTCAAAGCCAGCCTGGGCTACAAACTGAGTTCAAGGCAAGCCTGGGCAGCTTAGTGAGACTTCAAAATAAAAAGTTAAAAAAAGTGGAGCCTGGGGATATAGATCAGTGGTAGAGCAACTGCTGAGCATGTGTTAGGCCCTAGGTTCAATTCCCAACAACAACAAAAAGGCACAGGGTAAGTAAGCAACTTTTGAATACGTAGATCCAAAGAACCACCTTGGGGAGATCAAGAATATCTGCTCCCCCAGGCCCCTCCTGATCCAGTTCCAAGGGTAGCCTCTGATCCCCTCTGATCCTGTCACCAAGGTTTTGCATATCTGAGCCACATTTTTTGTCATTATTGTTTTGTGGAAGTAGGGTCTCCATGTAGCCCCAGCTGGCCTGAACTCATTATGTAGGCCACGCTCACCAAGGTCTGCCTGCCTCTGCCACCATGCCTGGCCACCACATTTTTTTTAAAGCATTATCATTGTCACCATCTTGTGTAGAGAAAGCAAATCAAGACTCTGGTTAAACAACATGCTAAGCCTCAAGGGGACACTGAGGATACCAGTGGCAGGCCATGGAGCTCCAGGGTACCTCTGTAGCTAGTGACCAGGGTGACAGTCTGATGCTTTGGTATGTTTGCTATTTCTGCACAGGCCAGAGCACCTTGCACACTACCTGTGAACCCCTTGTTTGTCCATCTGATCTCACCCCCATCACACCATCACACATCACATATTACCTGACTTGGCCGCACCTACATCGTCATCACTTCCTGGATGGAGGTCTTTGATCAAGGTGCTTAATCTGTTTCAGTTTCTTTATTAAATGGAGGTAATCACAGGATTTACTGTGCAGGTTTAGAAGATAGAAGAGACATTAAGAGGTTAATATTTTTTGGTTTAGGATGTCTGATATGTAATATGTCCTTATGCAAAATTAAGTAGAATAAACCTGTCAATTCATGGTTGTTGGGAATATGCTAGAAGGTACTAGGCCTTTCATAGTTACGTATTCTTTAGGGGATACTTGGATATTCCTGTGAAGTGGGCATTGGCTCTGGAAGGTAGAGGACCAGGGCCTGGGTCCTTGTGGAGGGGGTTCAGCTCCTCTTCACAGGGAAGAGGCCTGGGGGAGGCACCTGATAAATGCCAAATGTTTGACTGATGTCCTGGCAGGCAGGGAAAGGGCCACTGGGTACTCATCAACTTTTGTTTTGCCTGGCAGCCTCCAGTCCTGGAGAATTGGGCCCTGGAGAGGCGAGGCCCAGGTATTGCATAAAATATATCCCCCAAGTCTCTTTGCCTGGACTCAGTCCATCACTCCCTACCTTCCCAGGAAATGGAGGTCTTTTCCACTCACTTGGCCTGGAATCATGCCTTGAACTCCTGTCCTTGAAGGCAGCACATATATTTCACATCCCCAGATGGACAGTTGAGCCAGCAGAGCACCAGGAACCTGTGTTTGGATCATCACCTGTGCTATGCAATAGGCAACATGCCTGAGCCACAGGAGGCTCCTTGGCTCCGGTGGCCCCTGATCACAGGGACCTGGTTAAGAGTGGGGGTTGATCCCCTGAAGACTTGTGGATCCAACTTGAGTCCCATCTTGACTAAAGACTCACTGTGTGCACCTGGTGGTGCCATTTACTCTCTCAGAGCCACACTGTTCCTTCTGTAGCAAAGTCCCCCAACTCTAGGAATGAGAATTGAGGAGGCTGTCAGTGTGGGGTGAGGGAGGCTGGGTGTCCTGGTTCCCAACCCTGGCCCATGACACTCTGAGGAATGACTTCTCTTTGTCTGTTTTCTCATGAATAAACATGGAGAATTAGAGTTCCTATCTCTCGTGATGTTTGGGAGGGGTGCATGATTTAGAGATTATAAGGACATGGCTCTCATCATGTCGTGGCTCTCAACCATTACTGTTAACTTTGCACTTGGAGTGCAATTCACGGCACCGAAGTTGGAATTTGAAGCTCGGCAACATCAACCATGAGCTGTGCGACCTTGTATGAGGTCTTCTATCTGTCTCGTCTATAAAATGGGGTCAATAACATGACTGATCTTGTTGAGTTATAAGGTTTAAAGAGCTCCATGAATGTAAAGTGCTGACACATAGCAAGAACTAAATGTTATATTAGTACATTAGCATTATTACAGTTATATTATTGATATTATGAATACACTAATGAAGGAAGGGTAGAAAACATTTATTGAGTACCTACTATATGCCAGCAGCAAGATGTTACAGGACAAGCATAGACTCTGCATCTGGTAAAGCACAGTGAGGTTCTGGAAGGAGGGGGTAAACCACTTGCCCAAGAAGACCCCTGAATGACGAGGGGCCACCAGCCCCACTGTACAGCTTGAGGGAGGGACAGACTAACACTCAGTGCAGGCCTGCCATTGTAGCACAGGATTTCCTTTCTTTAACCCCCAAGAAACCCTGGGGGCACAGCTGACCCCTTCACTGTGCAGCCAAGAGACCTGAGGCCAGGGGGTGAGCTGTCAAAATCTCTACACACTGAAGCAGGGTAAAACTTGGTGGTGTCTCTGATCTTCCACACAACTTCTCCACGACTGGTAGAGGGAACAGACCTTTATGTCTATACAGCCTAGAGAGGACCAAATTGTACAGAATATTTCCAAGCCCAGGCATGGTCCACTACCCCAGTACCAGGAGACAGGCAGTGGGTACATTCCAAGGAATCTGGAAGAACATTCCAAAGACAAGAACACATAACACCTGAAGGCACATTGTTACCCAGAAATCTTTATTATAAAAATATTTTGCAAGCCAAAAGTTTAAGTTGCAACTATGTACAAAATGGGGCCTGTTTCTTTCCCATCCATCTACAAATCAACTGAAGTCACACTCCTCCCAGAGGGGTCTCTGCCTCTTCCTGTTCCTAGGGCTCCATATACAAGGCATGGGGACCTCCAGGACGCCTGGCTAAAGCTACAGCTGTACGTCTTCCTCGGCCTCCTTCCCTTTTCTCTCCCTCCCAAAATTAAGACAAAATTAGGATGGCACCAAGAAAAACAGTCTTTTAAAATCTTTTCTATGCACCTGTGTGTGCACATGCATGTGCTGTCTCTGGGCAAAGGGGAAGGAGATGGAAGTTTACAAACCAACCCTCTAAAATTGGGAGATAGCCTGAGCAGGTGGCAGGGCCACCATAGCTCCCCGATGCCAATGAGCTCTGGCTTGCTGGGCCAACACTGCCCACATAGCCTGTTGGCTCAGCCAAGTCCTGGATGCCATTGTGGGAGACATCAGGACATTAACTCTTGAAAGCTGGGTCTTTGCTGAGCCACTGACATTCCCTGTTACATCTGCAGAAAAAGGCAAGTCAGCTCAGCTTCTTACTTGGACGGCCTGAGCGATGAACTCCTTTGCCATCCCACAGGGGAGCAGGGACATTAGTGACTCAGCATGCCGAGATACATGTGAAGACCAGATAACCAAGGTTTCAACATTTGCTTGCTCTGAACTCAGCCAGGCCCTGGCACCCAGTTGGAAGGGTGGAGGTCAGAGGATAACTGGGTTAGAGCCTCCATAGTCAGGGTGGTCTGCTCTGGTTCACAGCTGTGCTGTCTCTGTTCCAGTGTGGTCACAATGCAGTTTGACAGCAAGAATGGAGGACTTTTCCTGTATGGATTATCTCAGAGTGCTGGAATGGGAGGTATCTGCTCAGCATCCCTTCTCTCTGCATGTCTCTAAAGTGCTTGTGAATAAAGGGGGGGCATCACTGACCCTCTGCCCTCTCCACAGAAGGACAGACATTGGGTCAGCATTGGGTCAGACAAGACTGCAGAGAAGCACTGCACTTACCACAGAGGGCCGTGGGACACAGGATCAGCCACATGGCTCTGGGAGAACAGGGTCAAGTAAGCCCCAGTAGGGCAAAGTGCCTGAAAGGAGTGGCTGAGAGATCCTTCTTCCTGGTCCTCAGGGTTTTGGGAATTTGAGAAACTGTTTCTGCTGTAAGAAAATCCTTCCAGGATAACAAACTGTTAAACCTCAGACTTCACAAGACCCAACCATTCAACACATGACAAAGAGCCAAAATGACGTTGCTGTTGTTTTAAGGAAAACAAAACAAAACTAAACACCACAGATCAAGTTTTCTAACACCTTGGCTTCAAGATTGCACGGTTCACATTTCTCAATAATTTACAGGCATCTACAGTGTGATGCTGCTGAGTAAGTGCGAGCTGGAGGAAGCAAGCTGGAGCTGGACAGAAGGTGGGCCACGCTGAACAAGCCCAGGGAGTCTCTGCTGGTAGAGAAACAGAGGGTTCCTTCTCTCCGAGGGCTGTGGCTAGCTAGCCAGGAAAGTGGGAGGCCGGTAATGCTGGCTGCAAGCTCATCAAGTCTCCCAATATAGGTCTGTTTTTAAACAGCTCCTCCATGGATGGGGCACTTTGATCTAAGGGAATCTTGTCCCAAGGCCTGGGTTAGGTGGAGGTGGTAGGATCGCCTCCTCAACATAGATCAGGCTCTGGAGCATCAGGAAAGCAGCCTGGGGTCTCCAAGACCACGATCCAGACCCATGTGTGATGGACAGAGGCACAACACTTCTTGGTCTCTATGCAGTTCTTTCTAGTTCCTCATCGGGTTCAACAACACCAGCCTCCAGAAGGAGGGGTTGTGGCTGCCCAAGAAGTGCTGGAGAGCCAAGAAGGGTAGGCAGACAAGAGTTATCCTCACTCCTGCTCCCAGGGCCTATTCCATCTGGCTTTCTGGGGACAGGTATGGCTGGCTGTCCTCATCATAGCCACTCCATGTGGGACAAGAAAACTTGTAGTGATGGGCCCTAGAGACGACCATAGTCCTGTTCACTTCCTCTGGACCTGGACACTGGCATACTCCGAGAAGGATGGCTCCGGCTTGGGGGCTGGCTGCTTGGATGCCCGGCTGAGGTGCACCATGTCCAAATCGGCATAGGTGAGGGTGTCCTCTGGCTTGGGCGGTGAGCCTGTGTCAATGCTGGCATACTCGGTGTGGCTGTTAGGCTCCATGGCCCGGGGAGTTGACTTCTTCTCTTTGGGCAGATTGAGGTCTGCATAGGTGATGTCATTTGTGTCCTGGATCTAAAGGGCATGGAGAGAAGGCATCATTCTGGAGCTCCCAGTCTGCTGCCCCATGTTGATGGGTACCAAGTCTGCCTGCCTCTGCCCCCCATGGGCTCTGCTTTAGTGTAGGCCCTCCTGCCAATGTTACCTGCTTCTAGATTTTCTCTTTCCAATTTACCTTCCTCCATACAAGGCCCGAAGGATCTCTCTGAAACACCAGGGTGGTTCCCTCTGAATCCTGCTGCATTCCACCTCCTTTCTTTCAAGTGGAACCACACAGCTCTCCCCTCCTTTCCCGCCTGGGGTGCCTACCCTTGCTTATCCTTGTAAGGGATCCCAGCACGCCCCGTACAATGCAGCACCAGCGCTATCCACCCTAAGGTGCTTCCTTGTTCTCTATGGCACTGATTGTGCTCTTCAGCACTTCCCACCACAGCATCCCTTACCAAGGACTGTCTGTCTGTGATTTCCTAGGAGGTATGGGACAGTCTGTCATTTACACATAGGCATTTGTTATACTGAAGACATCAAAGCTATCACAGAATGAAATGGAATGGGATGGATGGATAGAAAGATAAGTGGATGGGAGGGTGGAGACATGGATAGGTAGATGGATGAATGCATTCATGGGTAGATGATGGTTGGCAGTGATTCCAGCCTTACCCTAGGTATAGCTGGAGCCTAGGAGACAGAGAGCAAAGGGTGCTGTGACAAACAGGCCATTAGACAAAGGGGTGAAAAACGATATTGAATCAGCAGGCCTGGGTTTGGATACTGGGTTTTCCTTCTCCTGCTGAGGGCCTTTTTGTTGTTGTTTGTTGGGGACCCCTGTTGTGTAAAGTAGCAGTCTCTCCATGTCTGGTTAGCCTATGGGCTTGGCTTCATATGCAGAGACTCCTTTTATCAACAGGGTGCCTTCCCGGCATCTTCCTGACTCGTCTTTTGAAGTAGCCGTCACAGAAACATGGCCTCCGGCTCGGAAACTGCCAGGTTTTCCTATGTGATTTTCAGACAATGTCTGGCAGCCTGGCAGGAGCCCACCACCACATGTAAATGAGGCATCCTAAAAGCACCTATCAATTAAGGCTTTTACCACTGGCCCCACAGTACAAAATATCCTGGTTTTCCCTCAATAATCGAAGCTGGATCACTAAGCCTGGAGCCGAGCTGAGTCACAGAATAAAGGATTTGTACCACTGACTGAGCTGAGTTCTGTGTCTTACTGCCTATGATCCAGCCTTCCTGGAGAGGGCTGTCTCTTTGTAAGCTACGACTCACGGAAACCCAGCTTTTGCAGTCTCCGCACCTTCCCACGCGATCCGGCAGCTGACGGATCTCGTATCTCGAGGAAGTGCACGGTGGATTGGGATGGAACCGACCGGGCCAGCCCCGGTAGCAGAGAGCCTCAACAACGCAGAGAAGCAGGGACCCGCCTGGGAGCGCAGCGATCAGTAGAGTCGCCAGTATCCAGTAGTCGTGGAGACCCACAGCAACGCGGTGCACCCAGCGGGAGACCGGCGCCACGCCCAGCAGCTGGGCCCCGAGATCCTCGCACACCCATAGTTGTTTATGAGACAGGGTCTCCCTGTAGCCCCAGCTGGCCTGAAACGTGCTATTTAGACCAGGCTGGTCTCAGTTTCTCAGAGATCTGCCTGCCTGTGCCTCCTGAGTGCTGAGATTAAAAGTGTGCATCACCACACCCAGCTCCGGTTAACATGTTTAAGCTCCCTGGGCCACAGTTTATCCAATTGTAATAATATCTATCATTGGGCTGTTGTGATGGTTGAGGAAAATCATCCAGATAAATCATCATTTATCCAGATAAATATTTAGAACATAACATGCTACACAATGAATACCAGCTTTCAATAGATGCAAACTATTAACCACATAACGAATCTTAGTACCTCCCATGCACTCATCACCAGTGACTGTCCCCCAATTATTTGTCATGAATCATAAACTCTGCTCCGTGTGCTCAAGACTTATGCTGTGGAAATGGAGCTGAGCTTTAGTTTTCAAAGCTTTGTAGAGCCTCCTAGTCACAGGTCATTTCACTTAGGCCTGACCACAATTCTGCTCAGGAAGAATTACTGACCTCATGTTATAGGTGAAGTTAGTGAGCTCTAAGGAACTCATTAATTTAAGTCACTTAAGGAAAAACAAAACAAAACAAAAAACAATGCCTATTGGACCCTGAAGGGGAGGCCTTCCCACACTGTAGCTCCTCTATCCTGAGCACCACAGGTACTGATGCCTGTCTGAGAAACCATGTTGACCAAACTGGTGTCCCTCTCTGGCAAGGTATGGTGGCTGGCCTTGGGAAGCCAAGGCAGAGGTCTGATGGCTCTAAAGAGCAAAGTGGCCATCATGTTCATGTTTAGGCCCTGGTACTTTAGTTGTGTGAGTCTTGGAATGTAGATTTCTATGTCCAATTATTATTATTTTTTTCACTATTATCTTTTACCCAGAAGGTTCCAGAAAGAAGTCCAGCGACAGGGGAAATGATTTCTTATTGCCATGATTAGAAATTGTTTTATATTTTCTAATAACCACCAAGTCATGCCCAGGCCTGCTGGAGGCTGGGACAGTAGGCCAAGGTGTCTGGCCTATGAATACCATGCTTCTTATAGCCTGGCTCCTCCAGAACATTATGTTTAAAATGGTACCACATGCCTGGGCAATGTCAACAATAGTAGGTGCTTTCATTCTGGTCCAGGGTAGGCTTGTCTCATTACAAGGCTCTGAAGAACCCTGTGCTCCCAGAGCTGACACTGTCAGTTGGGAACAAGGTACAGAGCCTCAGAAATCGGCCAGTCGTACTGCCTATGAAATCTCCTCATCAATGTCAGGGGGAAGCCACCAGGTCAAGGAAGATGCCCTTGGAAAGGGTAATTAATGACAAAGAACTTTTCCATACTCAAAGGCAAGATAGGCCCTGGCTGGCTGTGCTGTGCTATGCTGTTACTTCAGGTAAGAACCAGGCTGCAAGGAGGTGGGCATAAGCTGCTGCTGGTGCTTCTGGTAGAGGAACTGGCTTGAGTCAGTGTCCAGAGGCAGAAAGGTGCAATCAACAGAAGGGAGGCTGCAGTGCAACTCTGGGGCACCATTTACACAGAACACACCCCAGTTGGCGCACCCTTGGAGTTGTGTTCCAGGTAACAATGAACTAAGGAGCCTGCAGAGTCTCCTGGCTGGAGCAGAGGGAAGAATGCAGAAGACATGGTGATTCAGTAATGCACGGATCCTCCCCACCCCCAGAGTCTTAATTTAGAACTGGATCTGCAACTCCAGTTGATGCAAGGAAATCACACCCTGAGATTCCCAGGAAGGGCCGCTCACCAAAGACTGTACCTGGGTTATTTCCCTGGCATTCTTCTCAGGCTCATGCAACCTGAAACAGAAAGAGATACAGATAAAAATACCCGCACTATCTCAAGAACGCATGCGAATCTATCAGAATAACATTTAGGTTCCATTTCCTATAGGGGTAGAGGACATGGATGTGTGAGCCCCCACAGAACCACAACTGCTTATCAAATGTTTGGACATAGGAGCCAGTCTCACTAGAGATTTCTAAACAATGCACTGTCATTTATTTTAAGCCTTTGTTGGAAGGATCGTTAAAAAATGATAGTGTTCTGAAAGGGGGGGAGGTGGAATGAATAGGTGCTTTCACACATGCTTGGGGCGGGGGGCAAGCCAGAACAGCCCATTGAGAAACAGTGGTCAAAGTTGAGAGCACAGATGGTATCCTGTCTTGGAAATTCAATATAGAAAATGCTTTCTATATAAAGGCAGTTGCCTTGGGCAAGATGGGGAAGGAAGTTTGTATCCTGGGGTTTCGTGTACTGGTAGTAGTTTTGGAAATTAGCATAAACCTATTGATGAGTGTTCTAAAAGTAGATAAGGGAAGGGGTGTTTTACTTTGGTGCTGTTGGGGATACCACCCAGGGTTTTGTTCTTGCTAATAAAGTGCTCTACCACTGAGCCACATCTCCAGCCCTAAGTTTTTTTTTTTTTTTTTTAAGGTACAAATGCTTACACTAAAATGTTAAGTGAAAAAGCAAATTATCTGTGGGTAACTTCAATGATGACAATGCACAGATAACTCTGGAAAGAAAATATTAATGGTAGCGCCTTTGGGGTAGTTTCTTTCCGTTTCTCTCACTTTCCGTATGCTCTATATTATAAATATCTATGTATTACTGTTCAAAGAAGAGGAAAAACAAAGATCAAAATGTTCTTGCTAATCAGAAAACAAAAGCATAAAAAAAAACAAAACGTGTCCATGCACTTGATTCTGTAATCAGAGGCCAGACTTGGCTCATTGGAGGGTCATGGTCAAGGTGATGAGCAAGCTGGAGCCGCTGGTTTGCCAGGAGGTGTGTAAGTCTTCAAGCCAGCAACTCAGGACACATGAGCCTGTCATGTCAGAACGAGCAACGGGGCGTGGCAGTGGGGTTATTAATGGAGTGGGCATGAGTGCCTGGCTCAGAAGGTAGTTCTGAAGTAGGTCCCATGTGGCCCATCAGCCCTCCAGGATCCGGAACATGACAGAAGAGATCATGAGGCTCTCTCCCCACATGTTGGCTCCCACCTTCTGCAGCCCCCACTGCTTGTCTGGTTCAAGCCCAGTCACTGCCCTGCTTAGAAGCCCCAGTCTGCTGTGCCCTCTCACTCCCCCACCCTCACTGGTCCCTTATCTACCCACCTACTATTTCATGAGGGCTATTGCTACTTGCATTTTGCACTTCAGCAGCAGCCTTGAGTAATCACATTACTTTGTTTTCTCTTGGTTGAATTTCATGCACCCTAAGAAACTTAGCTGTGGTGCTACCCCCTCGGAAGCCTTCACTAACAGTGCTGGGTTGGTGGGGCTGCTCCTCTGTGACAACTTCACATCTTGCGTATTTCCTTCTCTGTTTCATGTTTCTTCCTCCTTGCTATGCTGCCTTGCCACATAGGCTCAGGCAACTAATCCTTGGAGCGAGTGCCTGTAAAACAGTCCCCAGGGCCTTTGCACAGTCAGCTCCACCTTCATCTGTCTTACTCTTTTCTTTGAAATTCTATTTTAAATAACTTTCTTAGGAGAAGCCTCACTAGCTGAGCTCCCAAACTCCGTTTTCAGGAGATCAAGTTCCTAAATTTCAGAGCAGTATTTGTGACTGTAACCATTTGTTCCCTCTGTCTCAGTGTATGGCATCAGCACTACTCATCCTGGGCTCAGGCTACAGTGGTGGGTATCCTTGGTTCTTCCTCTTTATTGTGTACAAGCCGGCTGGCTACCTCCAAAATCTACATCAAATTTAGCCACTTGGTCATCTTATCACCCTGGCCCAGTTCCCAAGCTGCTGAAGAACCTCCCTCCCCAGTCTGCCTCCCTGCCTTATTCCCTGTTTTTATAACATGTATGTGAAAGCCAGGCATGGTAGTACATGCCTACAATCCCAGCTGAGGTAGCAGGATTTCAAGTTCAAGGCTAGACTGGATTATATTGTGAGAATTCCATTTCAAAACCAAACCAAACGGGGCTGGCGATATTGCTCAGTGGTTAAATGCATGTGTTGTTTTTACAGAGGACCTCAGTTCGGTTCCCAGCACCCACAGTGGGTGCCCCAGGGTGATCCAACATCTGTGGCCTCCTTGGGCACCTGCACTCAGGTATACAATCATATACATACATACAACTAAAAATAATCCTTTCAAACAAAATGAAACAAAACCAAAAAAACAAAGGTCAAACAAGAAACGGAAAAATGCCGATAACGTCACATTGCTTTTCTGCACAGCACTGCTCACAAACTGTGCGGTCCACCTCCACACCGTGACTGAGGGAGGTTCTGCATGGCCCTGCTCTGAACTTCTATCCCCGTCTCTCCCTGTGCTCTAGCTACTGTGGCCTCCTCCATGCTCCTGCCCCAGGGCCTTGGGACAGCTGCTCCTTCTCGGGTCTGTTCCTGCCCCCAACAGCCCCATATGGAGCTTATCATGCAGTAGCTGTCTCCTACATGTTGTCCTTAGGAAAGTCTTCCCTGGTCAGTCCCAGGTCTACCTCCCTGCTCTACCTTACCTTTAACTTCTCCAGCTCTTGCTGCACATGTTATTAAGCTTCCAGTTTACTTGGTAAGTTACCTCCCAAGGGATGATGAAGCCCTGCACCCAGTCCAGGGCTGGCACACAGCCTATCACTCCCTCCATAAATACTTTCTGAACGAATGGATGAGGTTCCCCACTGGATCCCCTCAGCCACTGTCTTTAAGCTGGGCTCAGTCCGGATGAAGAAATAAAGCAATTGGGGCAGTCCTAATAGTCTGAGAATAAACAGAGTAAACATTTAACATGTGAACAAATGGCTGTCCATATGAACCCTAGCATCCAATTAAAGGAGTAGAGAACACTTTCTTTTGTGTGGGTAGGGATAACAGGCAGTATTCTGCCAGCATGTTCCTATGTCAGGAGAGCCAGGCCCTTGGCCAGCCAGCCGCATGCAGGGCCCTTGGGATTCAAAAGCAGCGGCCTCCTAGCGCACCCTTTCTGAGGTACTAGGTTGTCCCCAACACTAGTGCCAGTGTCTCAGGAAAATGTCTGATGTCAGCACACGGGGCCTGAGCCACTGCTGCTGGGAAACCATCATTAATGCTCACTCGTCTACTATTGCTTTGGTTTAGAGAGATGAAAGGAGTTAGTGATACAGCGCCCTGGTAGGTTTGTACTGGAATGTGATAAAAGGGAGGAAAATGCCCTGCTTCTCTGGGGAGGAAGAAACAGACAGTGGGAGGCAGCAGAGCCGTGATGGAGAACTCCCGGTGTTAGTGTCAGAAATCTGCTGGAGTCATAGGTCCTGCATAGACCTGGGACAGCTGGGAATGTCACGTGACTTCTCAGAGCCTGGCTGCCTCAACCACAGGAGGGGGATAATAATAACCTCCTGAGACAAGGCCTCCCAAAAGGTGGCGTGGAGTCTGAATCAAAAGCTTCAGGTGTGGTTTAACAGCCCCTGAGGCTTCGGTCACCCATTCAAGTCTGGGAACCACCATCCTCAGCCAGGGATAGAAATAGAAACTCATAACCACAATGAGATAATGCGAGTAAAGGGACAGACAGGTCTGTGAGACACAGCAAAGTGCTCACTGAACAGAAGCTGTGACTGCTGTCATCATTCTCATACTGACACTGTCCTCTTCTTCCAGAATTATATTGTCTAATAAGGGAGGTGAGACAGGTTAAACAACAACAAAAACAAAACTGGAAAGAGCTCTTGCCATGGGAAGGGAGTTTCAGGGCTTCAGAGTCTGAAGGTACTACAGTGTGAGGGATGGTAGTTCTTATTATCCAGCCATCCATCTATCCATCCAGTCATTCAACAAACCTTCATGGAGCACTTATCCCATCCCAGGAATAGTACCAAGTTTAGGAACTACTGGTTGTAAACAAGAGGGACATATCCCTGTGCTTAAAAGATATGAGCAGCAAAATGGGGACAGGCTTAGAGCCACTTTCTATACCCCAGGATATTTATGCGGGGAATCAGGAGGCTGACAGGAAGCCCCCTGACTCTAGAGGAATTACTAGCTTCCCTGAGCTAGAAGAAAGAGTGTGAGGGGAGCAGGTGAAAGGAGGGTGTCAACTCTAGCTACCATCATGCATAATTCCAGGGGTGCAGGCTGCTAAGTCCACTGTGACTCCATGCCCTGTGGAGACCCTGGATGGTACAGGTTGGGGGCATCCCAGGAGAGACGAGTGTGAAAGGGCTAGGAGGGAAGGAAGGGCATGTGTGGAGGGAAGGAACGGGCACAGCCCAGGCCAGAGCCCCAATATGAGGCCTCAGGGTTGGCCAGAGTCAACAGTATGCAAGTCACAAGGGTAGGGACAAAAATGCCTCTGGACTTAATGTGGAAGGTCCACACGGAGTGACTGAAGGGACCTGAGCAGGGAATGGAAGCAATCCTTGCCCTTGGAAAAGAGTGTGCCAGGTATGGGAATGTAAGAGGCAAAGACAAAGCAAGAGGACAACTTTCCCCAGGGGGTAGTGAGGTGATGCTTGTTCAGGGGAGGGTGCTAGGAGGCTGAATAGGGCTCAGTTCTGACAGCCATCTGGGGAGTTCACAGCAGGAGGCAAGGCCTCACTCATCCCGAGGGTACTGTGTACTCTCCCTTGCAGAGCAGGACAGGGGCAGATAAAGCACCCCAGAGACCCTGGAGGCAGGAGAGATGTTCCTGCCATGCACAACATCAGCATCTAGTAGCTCCCTTTACTTATAGTCCCGAACCAGAACACAGAATCCTTACTGTCCCCAATCCTGAGTTGTCCTTGGCTGTACACCCAATCCATAAGCAGGTTCTCTTGGCTCTACCTTCAAAATGCAGCCAAGGACAAAATGCAGAATCTGATAATTTCTTAGTCCATATTCCACCCTGGTCCAGGTCTTCATCATCTACTTAAGCACTGTAGTAGACCCTTCACCAGCCTTTCTGCCTCCATCTCACCTACAGCCTAGCTTCCATACAGAGAATGTGATGCTTCTAAAATTAAAGCTAGACCGTACCTCTTCATAGAAATCCTGAGTCCTTCTACATAGTCACAAGTTATATAGCACCTTACTCTACTCCAGATCCTCAGCTCAATTCTCAGCTATAGAAGGAAGCGAACGAGGGCGACAGGGACAACAGGGGAAAGATCTGTATAGCTCATCTGGTGGCACAACCTGGCCTGAACCAACACCAAGCCAAATTCCCACGGTAGACAACAGGGTGCTGTCCTACTCTGCTGGGAAGCATTGGTCCTTCCTGCAGGCCAGAAATGCTTTTCTCCAGAAGGGTTGCAGCCCACCTGGCTGCATGGGCTTCCTAATCTGCTGCCCTGTGCACCAGCCACTCGGGTCTCCTGCTACACCTCATCTCAGGGCTGGCCCTCCTTGTGCTTTAGCCCAGCATGCTACTCCTGCTCAGAGCTCCTAGCTGCAGGTCAGGGATAGCAGCCCTCTTCAGAGTCTGCTGCTTCCTCTGCTTCAGCCAGCCCCTCCCCCATGTCCCTCTACTCCCTGCCGTGTTGGTGCCATCACACTCTGAATGGCTGTGCTTCCATACTTACTGCCTGTACCCCTCACCCTGAGCCTGAGCCACACACAGTAGAACTCTGCAACAAATCACCGTTTACATAAACTACCATATAAAGGTGCTGTCTGTGACATCACTGCCTGGGCTCCAGAGGGGGTTGTGAACTCAGGAGGGTTTGGGTCTCCACACTACCCCAGCAGTTCCTGGGCTAGGTCTTGTTGAGGTGCCTGGCAGAAGGAAGGATTGAGTACATAGCCTGGGTCTAGGGAGGTGAGGCTAGTAGAATGCAGGGCTTTGTGAGTAGAGATGGTGTGAGAAGAGAGGCGGCCATCACTTCCCCTGGGGATGAGACAAAGGCCTCGGTGTTGGGATAGCAGACAAGAAACCGGTGCCAATGAGCCCTGAAACCCTCCTTTAAGGCAGTAACTAAAAACAGACCTGGCACAAGTAGGGGTATAAGAGAGAAATAGGAATGTTGACAGGCAGGAGTGAGGATTGGAGATGCACTGTTTTGGACAACAAAATACTGCCTACTTCAAAAAAACAGGAATGGGGGGCTGGAGAGATGGCTTAGCAATTAAGAGCACTAACTGCTCGTGCAGAGGATCTGGGTTCAATTCCCAGCATCCACATGGCAGTTAACAACTGTCCATAACTCCAGTTCCAGGGGATCCGACGCCCTCTTCTGACCTCCACAGGCACTGCATGACACAGGTGCACTTACACACATGCAGGCAATACTCATACACATAAAATAAAAATAATAAGTAAAAGAAAAACAGGGATGGAAAGACGGCTCAGTGGGTAAAGTGCTTGGTGCACAAGTATTAAGACCTGAGTTAAGATACCCAGAATCCATGGCGATAGCATAAGTCTATAATCTCAGAGCTCCCAAGAGAACATGGGAGGTAGAGACAGAAGAGTTCCCACAAGTTCTTGGGCCAGCTAGCCTAGTACACACAGTGGAACAAGAGACCCTGTCTCAACAGCGTGGTGGCAAGGACCAACATTCAATGTCCTTTGACCCCTGTGTATGTGGTATGGCAGTCACATGGACAGACACACACACACACACACACACACACACACACACACATGTTAAATAAAAATAAATTATGACTCTGCTCATGTCCTGGCCTGCTTACCTTGTGGAAGAAGTGGACCCCTTGGCTAGAATAGAAAAGAAAACAAAGCCAGTTATTTAACCAGAAACACTTTGTAGGGCAACTTTCCTTAGGCCAAGGTTTGCCTCCATGGACACAGGAAGCCACGAGACCCAGTCAGTAAATGGCCCATTACCTTCCAGGAAAGAAACTATGGGTTAGGCTAGGCCGCTGCCCTCCCCTTTTGTGAGATGTCAATGGTCCCCAAGCAGCCTTCAACCTCAGATGGCCCAGGTGCCCTCCCACCCTCCACTGGGCCTCCTTTCCCCTCAAGCACTAACTGGCAGCTCCCAATTAGGTCCCACACTGCTTTAGGGTAGATTCTAGCAGGATTTTGATTTGGGGAGCAGATGTGAACTCCAAGCCTGGTCTCCCCTACTGTGTGACCCTGGGTGGGTCACTTCTTTCTGAGCTTCTAAACCTCACAGAGTTGGCCTAAGAATCTATCCTTACTTTCCAAGAAAAAAATAACTGTCTGGCTCAGTGTTTTCAGGCCTGTGATGTAGGCAGGACATCCCACAGAGATGCCTCTGAGGCTGTGGGGTACTCTGACTCCCATTTTGTTCAAAACTGTAATTAAAAAGCAACACTGAAATGTTCTCAGTGCTGCACTTTTAACAGGTCACCATAGTTTCAAGAATTTGGGCAGCAGGCTGGGCCTGGCAAGGACTAGATCTGGTGATGAGTTACGTGCGGTGGGAAGCTGCAGAAAGCATGCCACGTCTGAACGGGGGCCCTAGGCAGAGTCATCTCTGGTAATCCAGGGACAGAAAACATCCTCATTTTAAACCAGCAAGTGGTGGACTTCATATGGCTGGCAGGTGAAATGGGAACCTTCATCCTCAATGTGGAGAGGTGGGCCTAGGGTAGAGGAGAAGGAGTGGCTCCTCAGGGTAGAGGGGAGGAAGGTGGTGTGATATGCAGAGGAGACCTTACTGTGGTTTCTGGCTTTGACCTTGGCCTACCAGCTGTATTTGTATGGCTCCAAGCAAGTTTTAAATGTGTTTGGGAGCTGGGCTCTACAGACAGATTTGCCATTCAGGGGCCAGGTGGCCTCCTGTGCCTGCAGCCCTTCAGGACCCCATTCCTCCTCTGCTCCCCTAGGCATTGATGCCTAGCTCCATGGTGTGCTAAGGGGCTGGACCACAGAAAGGACTGCTGGGATTTCATCAGTGTCTACTGTGAGTGCTCCAGTGAGTGCAGAGCCAGGGACGTCCGTCCGCTCTTTCCTGATCCGAGGAGCCCCTCCTGTGTGCACACTCTGGGAACTGTGGGGCAGATGTGACAGGGCTATCCTTCAGTCCTCCCAGGCAAGATTTGTGACTTGGCTGCTATTTCACAGCTAAATTCTTCCAATTGGTGGCCTAAGAGGGACGGAAACTGGGGTGCACTGGTGGAGGGGTGCCAAAGAGATAGGAGACTGGCAGACTACACACTATCCCTGCTTGGCTGGACACTCAGTCACAGAATGGCAGCATGGGGCAGTGCTTGTCACTTTGCAGTCTGTGTCAAAACTGCCATTTTTTAACAGATGATACCAGAATATGACCAAAAAGAAAATAGCAGTTTCAACTTGATATAAAGGGATATGTTGACTAGAGATAGAAAATGGTATTTCTGTTGCTTGCAATATAAAAATGATTTTGGAAATACCGGCTTTTTAAATCTCCTGCAGTATGGTGAAGAAAACTTGTACTGACCCAGGTTCTGGAATGTGGCATATTCATTATTTCACAGCAGCTCACTAGGGCCACATAACTGCTTTCTAAATCAGTGTCCCTAACTAGCCATGTGACCTTGCCCAAGTCAGATGATCTGCTTGCCCCTGCCAGTTTCCTCTACTGTTACTGAGGTCAAATAAAACCCTACACCCACCTCAGATGAGGAAAGTGAAGCTGGTCAAGGCTGAGGTGACTTTATAGAGTATGAAAAACAAGGGTCTGGAGCTGTTTGCCTGACTTCAGAGTCAGAGGCACAGTCACAGAGCCCCACGTAGCCACATACACACAGTCACATAAACACAGACCTACAGACACACACACAGAACCCCCGCCTCCTGACATATGCATGCATATGAGGGAAAGATGGCCTGGTTTGAAACTGATACCTCCCCACATGGAGTTAAATACCATATACCCTACTTCTGTGAGGGGGCCTTCCTGGGACATACTCATATATGCTATTGGCTATAGGGCCCAGATTTATTGAGCATCTGTGTGCCTCACTTTCCTAACATCTTACAAGGAGCCTCTGCCAGCCCTTCCATTTGCCCTGCCTTAGTGGTAGGTGGAGGTTAACTGCTATCTGGCCTCCTGCCTGGGGCAGGGCATGGAATCTGGACACACAAGGGGAAAGCAGAAGTCTGCAGGCAGCTCCTGGGAAAGACTGTTTCCTCTCTGAGGCTGGTAGGAAGTCCCCCAGGTTTTCCCTTGCCATCTTGGCAGCTCCCTGCTTCCCACCTCAGCAGTGGTCCCACAAGATGAGCTGAGGATAACTTAACACAGCAGTGATGGCCATTTCTCAGCCAGGAGGGGAGTAACCCTCTCAGATTCCAGCATGGGGACGCTGCTGCATCAGTAATAACTTTTGGGCTTCTTGTCACTAGAAGTCACTAAAGTCCAAGGCACCCAAGTGGCCATCCCCTGGGAAGGTCAGCCCCAAGAGGAAGCAGGGAAACCACCTACCTTTCTTCTGTTTGATCCGGAGGAGGTAGAGGGCTGCCATTAGCAGGACTACAAGCAAGGAACACACCACACCCACCACAATGAAGACGTTCCAGCTGGCAGGCTCACCTGAGGACCAGAAGGAGCAAGGCTTCATGCACAGTTCAAACAAAATCAAAAGCCCACTGCCCTTTTCTCACTACAGTTGTTCTTAGCTGCAGACACCTGGCCCCTTTGGATGTCTAGGCATGCCCACACCTGCCTACGCAGGTCACTCATGAGCAGTTCAGAACCAACTGAAGGGCCAAGATGGACACATCCTGCCTGCAGCAACAGAGGAAGCAGTTGCAGGACACAGGCAGAAACAATACTCCTGATTCAGAGGATCTCTCCTCCAGAGTAAACCACACAGTGGAGGGTGTGCTGCTGGCATGGTCTCTGCAGAACACCCAGGGCTTCCCCTCTTCTTATGTTCAGGGCCTGGCCTACAGTGGGGGGTTCCAGAGCCAAGGCATGAGGTCCTAAGACCCCAGAACAGTACTGTGAATACCACGGCTTTGTGATAGAAATGTGAGTTAAAATCAGTGCTCCAACCAGTTTTTGCACAGGTCACTTGGGTCCACCCCCCCCATAGGTTTCTTCCACTGTTTCCACGGCTTTGTGATAGAAATGTGAGTTAAAATCAGTGCTCCAACCAGTTTTCGCACAGGTCACTTGGGTCCACCCCCCCCCCCATAGGTTTCTTCCACTGTTACTAAGACCAGTAATAATCTCTACCTCATTTGACAGCTGAGGATAATTTGACAAATGACATAATCTTTTATTGTCAAGGTTTTGAGTGCCTACTCTATGCTCCAAAGCTATAGTATTGAAAAAGCCAGTCATAGTCCTTACTAGCTGAGACCTAGCTGAGTGGTGATAAAGCTTCTCTTTTAACATGCCCATCAGTAAGCAGAGACTCAGAGAGAGACAGTGACTTGTCCAAGGTCACACAGCAAGAAGTAGCAGAGCCACTGTGGACATTCGAACTTCCTGTCTGCCAGTACCTTGCAACCTTTGAAAATCAGGCATGGGTGAAAAATCAAAGGGGCATCATGACACAGCTCTGAGGCTTTTCTGGAGCTTCTCTGAAGAATGCATGACAAAGTGTTTATATACAAAGCATCAGACATGGTGATGATGTGATGGGATAGAACCAAAAGGCTACTGAGGTATGTCCGCATTCAGAAAGAAAAGTTAATTCTGACTGACAGCACACTGGAGGGTCTAAGATGTTGCTGCTGGCACCTGAATGCCACGGGACAGTGGAGCATGGACAGCATCCATCCCAAACACATGTGCTTTGGCCTAGGAATAGTCCTTAGGAGACTGTCCCACAGAAACAGCCATGTGGGTGATAGTGTGCACAAGGATGCTCACTGCTCACTGTAGCACTGACTGTTCTTACACCAAGCTGCCAGTATCTTGTAGGGGATGGGGCCAGCACAGGCAGGGACAGAGTATAAAGAGGGGTACGGAGGGACCATGAGAAAAGAACAATTGTTAGGCACAGAAGGCAGAATGAAAGGAAACACTGATCCTCTCCCCCTTCTTCAGTATGTTATGCCAAAAGATCCATGAGATAGGAACCCAACTCTTACCAGCGTTGACTCTTAGAGGTGCTAGAGACTCTAGGAGAGGGGAGCTGACTTTAAAACTGTGCTTAAAGATGACCAACATTATATATGACTTTTAACTTTAAAAAAGATAAAATTAAGGTAATTTAAAAAGCGTCATTCAATTGGAGCGGAGCCTCACCAAAAGTGGTGTCCATGTCCTGCTCCTTCTGGTGGGCAGAGATCACCAGGGTATGGTTTCTGGTGACTGCTGGCTGCCCATCATGCTCCACCTGGCAGGTGAGCACCACATCCTCTCTATGGGTGGATGAGTTCACCAGGAGCCAGCTTGTCCGGTTAAAGGTCCCATCCTTGTTCACTGTGAGAACTGAGGCCACTTCTGTCCGGGACATGTTGCCATTTTCCAACCAGGTCAGCTGGAGACTCTGGGGGTAGAACTTCTGCACCTGGCAGGAGACGTTCACCTGGTTCCCCCCTGCCATGGTGGGTTGCTGGGTGACCTCCAAGATGGGTGAAACTGAAAAAGTACAGGCAGAAGCTCTAACCTCGACCCACACACAGATCCCCAAGGAGGGGCTGCGGAGGTGAGCCTCTCCCAACACCACAGCTAGGGAATCCCTGGGCTGCTAGGCATCATACAGGCACTCAAACACTGCGGATTTCCGTATGAGTGGAATCACTAGGCACAGCACCCAGCACATATTATGTGCTTGTGGGTTAGCAGCTCCTGCTAGGGTGATAATGAGTGAAATCCACACATGCACCCCTTGGCATGCAGTGAGAATGCAGCAAGCAGAGAAAGTGAAACCACCACGCACAGGGGCTTGGCTCACACTGGGCACCCAACAGTCACAGCTGCTACTGGTAAAATAAATGCAACTATCGGCTCGGTGCTGGTCATAGGGTAGTGGTCACTGTGTGCTTGGGCTGCAAGTCAGGAACATCTACCTCGGATGCTGTCAGACAAGTTAGCAGTCCCACGAAGAGGGCTTCCCTGCAAGGTGACGTGGGCCACCTCACAGATGACCTGAGAGTGTACATCCCCAGGACCCAGCACCACCTGGGCTATGCTGGTGACGTTGTAGGAGACACTCTCTTCTGAAGGGTCCACGATGGTCTGGAAGTGGGAGAGTTCGTTTCCATTTTTGAACCACTTCAGAGTGATGTTCCGGGGGGAGAAGCCATGAGACTCGCAGGTGAAGCTCACTGTCTGCTCAGGTGCAGCCCTGGCTGCTGGGCCAGATACTACCGGTGGAGAAGGTCTGGCTACAAAGGAGCATTTACAGACAAGAAACATGATTGAAATGCTCACCATTCACCAAAGGGAGTACTGCTGAAAAGAACCTGCCTAGACACCAGCATCATTATTTAGGTGCTGGGGGTTGGCCCCAGGGCCTCAAGCATGCAGAGGACATACTCTACCAAGCTGTTATCTCCTGTCCAGAGACACACTAATTGTTAAACCTCTTGACAGAACTGAAAGAGCCTTGTTCTTAAGGCTTCTGTAACAGGAACATATGCAGGGTCTCCAAGAGGTGAGTGAGAGTGGGTGGTCAAGCAGGGCAGGACCAGGTGGGATCCCAGGCTTAAGGTCAAAGTTCTTTCTGAACTCAGGGATCTCCATGACTGGATACAGGGAATTACTGACCTGTCTCATTCTTTGTTTTAACGACCTCTAACTGGGGCTTCTGTTGGTCAGTTTGGGGTTGGAAATATAAATCACCATGTGCTAGCAAAGTCAAAGATGAGTCATGTCTCCTAATTAATTATAAGAGACACAGACAGAGGTCCTGAGCAAGCAGAAGCACTTCTGGTCCTGAAAGAACATATATGCGTCTAGGAGGGAGGCAGTGTCTCTTGTGGATGAATTCAGATTGTTAATTAATCACTGAGCACCACTGCCTGGCAGCAAATATCACATTTTCTTTTTAAACATTTAACTTGCTCCATAATACTCAGAGGGCACAATAATCAGGGTGTCTCCTGAGGATGTCAAATCATTACAATACCAAAAGACCTTAGAGTGATGAGGGCCGCAGAGTGGGGCTACTGATTCTGAGGGTTCCCTGTGCTTGGATCTAACCAACTGCCAATGGAAAATATTTTAAAAGCTGCATCTGCACTGGACACAAAGAAACTTTTTCTTGTTATTCTCTAAACACACAGAACAAGTATTTATATAGCATTTTGCATCACATTAGATATTATAAATAATCCAGAGAGGATTTAAAATACATGGCAGGATGTCATTAGATTATATGCAAATCTCCGCCATCCTGGATGAGGGCCTTGAACATCCTTGGACTTTGGTACCCCATAGGTACCGAGGGACAACTGCAGTTATCATCTGCTGAGTTTTTGGAAGCCTGGCATTATCTGCTTCCTTTCCACTCACCAGCCCATGAGGAGGTCCTAGGGCAAATTCTTTCTGTGGGACAGGGCTCGGAGAAGAGCTTGGCTGTCTATTGGGCATACTTTGGGTAAAGAATGGGACTCATCTCTTCCAATACAGATGATTAATTCAGCACTACTATTTTTAATCTGAGCCTCTGCGTCCTTCTGCACAAAGTGGATAAAAAGATCAGCCTGGGAAGATGAAGTAAACATGACACTGGCATACACTAGATGCTTAGTAGGTAACAGCTATGGCTACTACCTTTGCTAGCTCTGAGACTTCACGTTTATTCTCTGGCAGCCAGAAGGCACAATAAAAGCACATCGAGACACCAGGAACAGTCTCTGCATGCTCCTGTAGCTGCCATAAAAAACCCAAATGAGAAGGAGTGGAAGTTACCCCACTGTGGACTCTCCCAGTAACCTTCTTAGGACATGAGGATGCCCAGCAGCTTCAAAACACCAACAGGATTGCATCCAGACAGGCTATTTAGAGAGTCTGCAGCTCTGTGAGAGGATCTGTGACGTTTAGGGTTATCAAGGCAGTGTCTGTGCTGAAAAGTGAGGATCTATTTGGCCTATTCAGACAGAGACGTAAGTCAGGAAGGTCCCACCCCAGTGGGGTCTGAGATGGGCTGCCAGGGTGCTCTTCCAGGCCTCTGGGGCTAGTTCCCAGAAGGAGTTCCTGCCTACCACTGGGTCCCAGAGAACACATGCTATTCTGAAGCACAAGGGCTTCTCATGACCAAGCTTCATGGCGGGGGGCGGGGGTAATCACAGCTTTTCTTTTGTGGCCTCAGCCTGGCTGTGGTTAGAAACTTCAGATGTAGGCTGGGGAGATGGATCACCAGGTAAAAGCACTTGCAGAGTAAGCATGAGAACCTGAGTTCAAATCCCTAGAACCCATATGAAAAAGCCAGACACAGTGATGTACATGCACCTATAACTCCAGTGCTGGGGGATGGAGTGTGGGGGCATCAGTCAGAGATAAGAGGATCCCTGGGGCCTGCTTGGTACTAGCTTAGCTCTGGGTTCAGTAAGAGACCTTGTCTTGAGTAAGGTAAAAGGTGAGATAATAGCAGGGTATTCAACATGCACAGAGAGAGAGAGAGAGAGAGAGAGAGAGAGAGAGAGAGAGACTTCAGATATCCAGATCCATGTCAGATCAATAACAGCAGAATTCTTATGGTAGATACTGGTGTGTGACGTTTTTTCAGTCTCCTAGGTAATTCCTACAAGCAGCCAGACAGAGTCGGTAAGGTAAAAGGTGAGATAATAGCAGGGTATTCAACATGCACAGAGAGAGAGAGAGAGAGAGAGAGAGAGAGAGAGAGAGAGACTTCAGATATCCAGATCCATGTCAGATCAATAACAGCAGAGTTCTTATGGTAGATACTGGTGTGTGATGTTTTTTCAGTCTCCTAGGTAATTCCTACAAGCAGCCAGACAGAGTCACCAACTCATCCAACCCCATCAATACCTGAGATCTAGAAATGCAGAGTAATGGCCCCAGGTCACATGGACACAACACAACACAGCGCCCACTGTGGAATATTTCCTACAAGGCAGGCGCTGCTCGTCAGTGTTTGATGTGATGTCACTCCTTCAGGCCCAGCCACACTCTGTCATGGACAGATGAGGTTGCTGACGCTGCTCTGTTGAGGAGTTTGTCCCAGGACACAGGCCAGGGAGTGGTTTAGCTGGAAAGTGGGCCCAGAGAGTTCGGTTCTGCTCCCTGTCCTCTTGGCTACTGCACTTCTGATACTCAGTAATGACTCTGAAATCCTGCTTAGGGCTTTGTTGCACATCTTGATCCTCAGACATGGAGGACTCTAGGGAAGCCAAGCCTTGCCCCAAACTGCATGGTCTGGGGTAATCTCCCACGGCTTCCAGACAGGCTTGTTTTTCACCAGTGTCCTCACTCTACCCTAGAAAGGTGGGTACTCATGGTGCTGGCTTAAGGAGAACATGCTGTGATGAAGATGTGGTATGTGGCAGGTGGCCACCTCTGTTCCCTCCTACCCGTCTTCATCCAGGGCACCCTAGATACCCACAACATGGCAACAGGGAAACAAGCATGATGTGCTCTAAGCCACTTACTAGCTGTGGCTGCTAGGCCAGTGATTACCTTGTGGGGACTGCGGACTGCAGTGTCTTTGTTCTACCTACAAACTCAGGACGAAGCTGCCTGCTCTGATTCTGTGGACAGTGGTGAATGGACTTAGCGGCTACCTGGAAGGAAAACTGGTATCACTAACACAGTTAAAATTAATGTACTACTTGATGCAGCAGGCCTCTTGCAATGGGAATCTCTGTCCAAAGCAGGATAAGGTCATCCACTACAGCATTGTTTTAAAGCTCACATTTCGGAATCGGTGAAAGCCGCAAACATTGTAATTCTAGATGTTGGAGGATAATGCAGCTGTTTGCACAATGGAGTGGCTCTTCATGTACTGATGGAATAAGAACCCGACTGACATTTGGGAGAGGTTTTCTAGTCACTAAAGGGCCCCTCAGGGTCTGAATGTGAGAGGCATCCTGAACCTCTGGGAAAGCGGTGAGTGGAAAGGCTGACTCCCTGAGTACCTCCTGTGCACTGGCTCACCTACAGAGATGGTGTGCTTAATACCGGGACAGCAAGGAGCCTGGCCTGCAGTCAGATCTGGTATCTGTTCTATATTCTGGCACTCACTGGCAGTGTGATCCATGGACAAGGCCCTGGCCACCTAGAGAAAGGGTCCTCTGGAGGCAGCAGGCTGGTCTGATTCTACCAGTGGGCAAGACCCTCACAGTGTTAAAGCTGTCATCTGTTGAGTCACAGGGCTGGACCAGGTTGGGGAAAGCAGGCTGCAGAGCAGGAGATGAGGGGTGCAGATTCCTCTTATTCCTACTGGGTAAGCTATGAGCAAACAGCAGGCCTCAGCTTCCTTGATCTGCTGAAGGCTGAGATCAGATCATGAAACATGAACTCCTCCCATTCTACCTGCTATGTGCCATGCTCATAGGCCTGGGGTATGATTCTTGACCTGTTGCCACACCTTGGGGAATGAAAAAGGCTTAGGCTTACTTACCGCGCACAGACACCTCTGTGCCTCCTCCAGACTGAATCTCCTTGTTGTCAGGGCCTGTTTTCTGGAACTTCACACAATAGTAGGTACCGGCGTCTGCTGGGGTGACATTACTGATACGGATGGTAAAGTCCAAGTTGTTTCTCTTAGAAGTATCTGAAACATTTGTGACTCGGGGAAAGTGCTCTCCTGTGAACCTGTAGACTGCCTCCCGGCTATGCCCTACCCCTTTAAACCACTCAATGGGCCCCACGGGGTACAGGGAAGTTGCGGTGCAGTTCAGAATGGCTGTCTCCCCAGCAGCGACAGACACTGACTTCTCACGCTGAATCACTTTCAGAGTCTCTTGTGCAGCTGCTCCTGGAAAGAAAGATGGCGGTTGTGACTTATTCTGAAGGGATCCTACAAGCTCAAGTTTATCAGTGACTTTCACCACGTGAGCATGCTCTGTCTGTCTGTCTCTATCTCTGTCTCTGTCTCTCTCTCATACACACACATACACACACACATACAAGACTTGAGCTCAGCACACCAAATGTATCATATTTAAACCCCAGATGAGCTTGTTATCAAGACTGTAACACGAACGAGGAAACTGAGGCACAGAGTGCTAAGTGCCCAAGCCCTCTGTGGCAGTGTCTGAGCCACACTCTGGGATGCATATCTGAATCTGTCAGAAGGGGCCCTGGATTCCCCACAGAGGGGACAGGTTGGAAAGGTACAGAAGCAGGAGGCTCCTTACGTGTGTTGGACTCTATAAGGAGGTAGATTGTTTCTGGTTCGAACCAGAAAGCAGGCCCTGGGCAGAGATGCTGTGCTCAGCAGTCCAGGTGGTAGGAGAGTTGAGAACTCAGGCTCTCAGCCTGCCTCAGTGGCATAAAGCTGTATCACTTGGGGCTATCACCAGGGAGACAGAAAAGACCCAGGTGCTCACCCACTGCCAAGTGCTATGGGGGATGACTACAGCTTCAGCAAGGCCTTTCATGGCCCTTGGTTTTGGTTTCCTCATCTCTGAAATGCTTACCATGAGCCCATCTTGATGCATCTTCGGTAGAACCAGATATGCCAAGGCCAGGGACTACGTATATCAAAAAATTATATCTTGGGACTTGTGAGATGACTTTGTGGATAAAGCACTTGCCATGCAAGCATGGTGGCCCAAGTACATTTCTAAACTATGGTTTGCATATGGTGTGGGTGTGGAACCTGAGCATTCGGGGGAAAAGTGGACACAGACATTAGAGACACAGTGAGAAAGGGAAACAGGATGAGGACAGGAGGACAACGGCAGTGGGAATGGCAGACTGGAAGGGTGAGCCAAGTGCTCAGACTCCCAGCTGTGCTTCTAATATGAGCCTGTCCATCAGACAGGGCTGTGGCACACTTCCTCGGTAGACCCTCCTGCATTGGCTGGTTAAGAGAGACCCTGTGTGTTTGTTCACCAGCCCATGGCCTGGTACTACCCCACTGGCAGGGAGAGAGCCTAAGGGAAGAGAGGTTCTGCTGCCATTGCCGGCACCCAGGGCCTTGGGGTGAGCCTGTCATCATTTGCTCACTGTCCCGCCTCTTCCTCTCCCCCAAGATTCCCTTGAGGTCCACTTCCACGGCAGGTGTCAGCAGCCTGCAAGTGCCTGCCTGGGCACAGCCTGATTCTCATGCTATAAGGGAGGAAATAAGAGCCTGTAGAAGTCAGGGGAGGTCAGCCTGCACTGGGCAGCCTAGGAGGGGGTAGGGTTGGTAGGTACGTGAGGGGCACACGGGGAACAGACTGGAAGAGACAGGATCTCTCAAGGGCATAAGTGACATCATCAGCAACTGCCAGTAACAGGGAGCCAGGAACATTCTGGTAGGTCTACTAGCTGAGCATGAGAGACTGGCAGAACTGGAACAACTACATACAGGATGCACAGGCCTGGGCAAAAAGAGGCCCCTTTGTCAGATTAGCATGTGTGCCCGGGTCTCCATTAGACCAGACATAAGCTGAGTACTGGCACCCACCCTTGGCCTAGTTATGAGGATTGTTTCAGAGCTAGATATAAGCACCTGCTGTATGCATGCTGATTAAAGTTTAGTTCCAAGCCCCGTTATCACATTGTTGTATTTACATGTGATTTGCTGTTGATTGCTATATTCCCTACCACTAGGGTGGTGGATCCACTAGGGGTTTATTTCCAGCCTCCTGCTCTGACAGAAGCTGTGTCCTCAATAAAAATACCCTGAAGGAACATGCTGATGAACTGAGAAAGGAGGGGTTTTATTTGCTATGCCCCTGACAAACACCTCTGAACTTCATCTGTTCAGTGGAGAGAACACAGGTCTACCTAGGAGCTGGCACCCCATTATTATTATTATCCTTATCAACAACCTCGCACGGGACTGTGAGTCAGCAGTTGGTGAGGGAGCTGCACTCTGGAGGGAAAGACTGCTGGATTGGGCTCGGCAAGGTGAAGCAGGGCTATTCTTGTGGTGCAGCTGGAGGCCTGAAATCACACCCTGGGCAGGTGACAATAAAACCTGGAGCTGAGGAGG